CCAGACCACGAGCCTGAATTCCGTATCGCCGTAATCTGCGCTGTCACAATGCAAGCAGCAAAATATATATGGATACGTGGCTAATAATTTCCTCTTTACGAGCTATAGAAACTTGTTTGGGATATGTGCTGAGGGCAACTGGATGCCAAAATGTCAAAATCCTTTCGCGATATCGCCTTTGTGGAATATATCGCCAAGTCGAATTACCTTAAGCCTACATTTGTACAGAATTTCAGTTTGCACTTACATGGTAGGTAGGCTTACAAAAATATCGTTGTATGAGCAACGTAAGCGACCGGGATAAGTCACACAAGAAGTGCGCAAAGGAAGTTGGAAAAGTTCTTCTTTCATTCTTTATCTTAAGCTGCAAACCATGTTTTCCACGATAAATTATTAAGATTGGCAATTAAGTACACTGACAATTCAGAGATAAATTTCAATAATTGTTTGAAGCTCTGAGACTGCTTCTTCATTAAAAGGGAGATAAGTTGCATAATTATCGTCAGCTCATGGGACATTGGATTATTCGAGTGATATTCGCGCGCATGTGCGAGTATAGGAATTACCGACTTGTGTGCGATGTAGCAATATTCAAGGCATGAAATGATAATACATCGCTTATGTCGCGCTTGGAAAATAAAATACGAAGAGAGAAAAAGTTGGCTCGCTATCGCTTGCTTGTAAACAGAGTCGACAGGTAATCGAGACATTATGCAATTGCATTTGCCGGCAAACCAATTATTTACAAACTTAAATCAGGCGGATCGTGAGGCGAATGAGTGGGTGAAATCGAGATGGATTTCCTTCACTTTCCGTTCTCCGCATTTAATACAGCCGAGTAATTAGCTGCATCGGCAAATGTAAACACAGAGCGAAAACAACAGAAATCCGGATGTAACGCTTCAATGCGCTAAATCGATAATGCCGTAGCATAATGGAGCCCGACTTTCAATGCTTATTAAAACGGATAGTTCGAAAAATGTAGCGTCTCGTGAATTTTAAAGAAACCGGAAGAGGATAAGCCGCTGCTTCCTGTATAGTGAGGACGGTGATTGGGAGGGAGATATATATATATATATATATATATATATATATATATATATAGAGAGAGAGAGAGAGAGAGAGAGAGAGAGAGAGAGAGTGAGTGAGTGAGTGAGCGAGTGAGTGAGTGGGAAAGGGGAGGGGTGGGGGGCAGGGCAGGGAAAGAATCTGATTAAAGAGCGAGGACACGACGAAGAATTCCCCCCTCGGAGGAAAAGTCTAAAGTCTTGGCTCAACGACCTCGAGCGTCTTTATTTACTAGTGTCGCGCGCATCAGCGGCGCGCTGAGAAAATCGCTCTCACCTTCGTGAATTTAACGAGCAATGGCAGTGCGACGGAGAGGGGCAATAAGAAGAGGAGGATAGCAATGATGACGACGACAACAACGACGGATCACTTTCTTCCTTTCGGAATGCTTGGTGAATCGTGAGACTGCCTGCGTAGGCGTTAAACCCCATCAAAATGATTTAACATAAGTTAATGCGTTATGCGCGTAGATTGTTTGGCGACGATGAGCGTTTTGTTTCGGGCCAACGTTTCGTTTAACGACCAAAGCATATAAAATGTTTTGCAGAGTTAGAATTGAAATAAGTCCGAGGAAAGAGATAAGTGGCGTTAATGCTATAACTGTAATGTCGAAACTTTTATTTGTGAGCTAATAATTATAATACTGACGGGAAATATACTGTATTGACGCCCTTTCCGCTTCCTCTTTACAATATTTTTAGTATTATATAAGGAGAAGTAATAGTTTTAGAAAGAAACTATAATGCTTGCATTTCCTCTGTACGCTATTGAATTTATCAATACTGTATGTATATGCAAATATACCAAAGACGTTCCTATTGTTTCAAAATTATACATACATACGGTTCTGCGAGTGAAACAAGAAAGACGATAATTTTATAACGATTCAACAATTGAAGTAATAATTATTTCTGTTTAACGAAAATTTTTGAGAAAATCAATTAATTATGCCGTTTGGCGTTTGACGGATATATAGTACATGTAGGTAGAAGTTTTGTCAATAAAATGTTATGACAATGTAAATATAATGGCGTGTGAAGGGTTGATAATAACTCCTGTTTTCACGTCAAAATTTCACTTCAACGCCAATTATGGTGTACCAATTATATTCGAGCATCATATTTATAATTTATGGAATAAGATATCATCATACACGACACCCGCCAGACTAAGATAAAATATTTATCATAAAATAAGAAAAGGAAGTAGCACTTTGATTTACAACTACGGCTTGTCCATATAGTTCCTTTTTATCATTTATTTAGCGGATTTGGCAAATTTTTCATTCGTAAAAACGAAAATTGATATATCGTGTAGATTAATATGATACTATAAGCATACAATGTTAGAAATAAATTCATGGTAATTATGCTTTTCAAGCTGCTGTGCCTTGTAAAATTTTCAGTATTATGACAAACAATTTCGAGCGCCCTTTATAAATAACAAGCGTTTAAACATATTTAACCGCTAATGTTAATAAATGATAAGCATTAACAGTTTCACGAATAATTACCTCTCTAAAATTGACTTTATGCACATCTAACTTTACGAGCAATTGTAATAAAAATTTCAGGCAAGATTAAGAACGTACCGGTACTGTAATTTAAATAACTAATAATTACCCTTAAACTAGAGCGCAACAATCGTAATTTAATTTCTCCAAAATCATTCGTTACCTTAATCTATAAATTTTAAATCTTATTGATCTACAATCGTTAAAAATGTACTTTAAAAACATTTCCTAAAACGACTTATCGATAAACTCATTCCCCAGAAAAATTTAACACGTGCAATGAAGAAACTGCATTCATCCAACCTCAAAGCCATGAATTTTTTATTATTTCTCTCTTTATGCTGTAAAGAATTATTGACGTTTGTGTATGTATAATTATGTATATTCATGGCTTTCCCGTTCATTCTCTCTTGTATTTATAAACAGCAAAATTGTCACCGAGGTAGTAAGGATTCGAGGGCGGGAATCAGTTTCAATTGGCAATTGGCGCAGTGCCGTAACTCTTCCTTATCATCTCAGTGTCGATTGCTCCCCGTCTCCGCCACTACCCGTTCCGTTTCTCACTTACGTAAGTGGCTTGAAGAGCAAAAGTAGAGAGTAAGTGATAGTGTGTGTGTGTGCGCGCGCGTGCGTGTATGAGAGAGAGAGAGAGAGAGAGAGAGAGAGAGAGAGAGATAGAAGAAGCGTTGGCGAAGCGAAGTTACCGGAAGCGCCGGAGAATCGCACGAGCTTGAATTTGTGAATGCGTCGAAAGATAATTGGCCTCTGCCTTCGTCAATTTTGATTATAATTTTTAGTGATTTTCAACAAAGTTTTGTCAATCCTTTGCTCTTTGTTTGTTTTTTTTTTTGTTTTTTTTTTGTTTTTTTTTTGTTTTTGTTTTTTAACTAAGTAGAATTCTTTATTTCTCGTTGAAAATAGATATCGTTCCGTGCTTTTATTTTTAACTTTATACTCAACTCGATTTATGCCTCAAGATTTTAAAATTAATTTGAGTCGAAAATTAATTGAATTACATTAAGTGTGATGGATAATCTGCTTTTGCATAAGGTGAAAATTATTTCGAAATTAGCCGGATTTACGTGATGTATTTTAGTAATGCATCAAGAGTATCTTAAATCGCGATTGATGCCAAGACTTTTAGAATGTTTAAATATTTAAATGAAGTACGATCGTTATATTTAATATATTTGTTCACTGCTTTATTTCATGAAAAATGATCTCAATTAGATTAATTGGGTCTACAACCAATTATCCATACTGTAAATGCTTTAAATTATCTTTCCGCTTTGTGCAGAGATGAGTCAATTAGCAGAAAGCACAATAAAAACTTACCTCGTTTACTTTTTAATTAATTTACACGTCTTCTTGACCCTCGTGTATTCATTCAATTCACCTAATCGCAATATAATCATTAATTAATATAATTCTGGCAATTAAATTGGCATCGAGATAAGCAGATAAATTATAGCAAATTACAAAATAGATTATATACTAATAGAGTCATATTAAAAACTGTAATTATGTCACTTTAAATTTTTGGAAGTCAAGGAGGGAAGGGATCATAAATCATGTTAAATTGTTATAGCTTCATTATTTGATTTATAGATTATTTTTCGTATTTTCAATTAGGAGAACTTTTCACAATTATTAAACCATAAGTGTCGATAATAATTAACGCGTCAAATCTATATCGTTTCATGAGCTTCGTTAATAATTATCAAACCTGATATCTCATCATTAAAATATAAGATGTATTTGAAATATATAACACGACCGTTGACTCAATATCAAATGACCACACATAACGCATAAATATATAAATATATCAATTACTTTGTACAGTAAGCTGCACAAATTTTTGATCTAACAACCGTACATAAAGAATATTCGATATATAAAAGAAAAACCTTCTGTACATTTACTCTTTCAATGTCTCTTCTAAGTGCTTATTTATAATAACTTATAATAAAATCTTACGATTTTCAGCTGATTTAGTATAAAATATAATCGTTCATAAGTAACGACACTCAGTTCTGTATATTCATGTGCAATACAATTTACATATTTCAGGCCTTCCGTTATTTTCAATTCTCCTTACTATATATGATCGATTACAAGTGCAGCAATGCATTTTATCGAATATAAATCAATGGTCTGGAACTAGCGGAAATTTTTCAGTAATACAAAAAATTGTAATTCACAAATTATCGTGCGTATTTTATATGCTTTTGCAAGGCAAGATTATTGCAGATGAATAAATTTTAAATTAATCCTTTCCATTGAATTGAAATATCCTTATCGAGAGAATTTTGCTTTAAATACAATTTACTGCTGATTCGCTCCAATGCTCCAGTGATATATAGCGAAAGTGTAAATAAATTGTTCTAAACGCTAACGCACGTATTTTGATTTTTAGGTTTGACGATGGTCGCGATGGCTACCTTGACCTTGCCGAACTCAAGCGCATGATGGAGGTCCTGGGAGCACCCCAAACCCACCTTGGCCTAAAGGCGATGATCCAAGAAGTGGACGAGGACCAGGACGGGCGGATTTCCTTCCGCGAGGTCAGTCGGCCAATGCTCGAGAAAACGGCCTATTCCACTTTTTTTCCCATTCGCCGACTAAAGCCGCCCCCGCATGACGCCGCCCCAAATTTATGGACAAGCGGCGGGAGGGCGCGAAGGCGACGCTATCGGGCCGCGGGCCTACGCTTGGTCGTATCCCCCCTCCCAATTCTCCATTCGACACCCGCTCACACTCCCCGCCTCTCGTCGTCATTGTTTCGTAGTTGATGGGAAGAGGAGGGTCGATTATTGCTTTCGAAAGTGCTTTCGAAAAAAATTCCCGAGACGCGGATGAACTGACGCAGCACGTATTTGGAAAAGCGCGCGAACGATAGCGAAATCGCTTCCGCTATCATTTTGTAATTAAAATGATACGAGGTACAATTTTTTTCTTCTTTCCTTTTCTCTCCTCGGTAATAGGATAGAGCGATACTTTTCCAGCGCGTGATTGCTTATTTTCTCTTTACTTTTACTTTGTATAGATTACTTTTGATCGTTACAACAGTCTCTCTTTTATTCATGTTGAGTGCCTGGCATAGGCCCAATAGTGATAAAATTCAAAATAAGTCCATGCGTTTGGCGACGGACAGCGAATAAGAATTGCGCCTTTTACTTTTCGAGCACTTTTTACGCTTAACGTTATGAATTATTGGCACGACAATGCCATATCTGTGCGCGGAATGTAATTTAATTTTCTTTCGTGTATTAATACGAGAATGAGATTTGCATAAAATTCCTTATAAATAAATTACTTGATCACTTAAAAGTACCATTAATTTAATATTTTGCTAGATGCAAGTTAAACGACACACAAAACACATTTCTCATTCAAGATTGCGCATTTGAAATGTTTTAATTAGTTTAATGGAGCTCGATTGTTCGAAGTAGAATAATAAGCCAATGAGATTAAGCTTGGAATTATAAAATTTTAAATAGTTTGAGAGGTCTAATGGAACTATAGTTTTGTCAATTTATTGAAAGTTGAAATACTCTTACAAAATGATGTGGTCCTCCAGCACTGAAAATAATATTGCTTAAAAGATTGTTCACACGTAAATTTCCAATTAGCTAATATATTTTCTTGGCTCGAAGTGATGTTTGAGTTTGGAAAATATTTTTAATAATTTATTAATATAGACGTTGGAGAGCATCGTAATTTATTATCAATCATTTTGAGTAATAAGACTTTCTGGTCGGAGCAATTGACATTTTGAACGATTTCTTGAAAAACACGTGTTTTTCCATGCAAAACATAAAATTACTTTCGAAATATGTATAGGATTAAAGATACGACAGCTATTTATTTATAAATCATTGGAACGCGAAATAATAATGTCGTTAAAACTAAGAGTTTGCCAGTATTTGAAAGTGTACGAATGTTTTCTTGGAATTAACGTTTAAAATAGTAACATCAAATGCGCTAAATCTGTACTAGATGTATCGATTAGGCGCTTTCAAAGTTCAATCTAGTTCATGAATAATTGAATAATATAAAGCAAATGTACATTTATCTCGGTATTCCTCATTTATGAAAAGAGATACATTAATAATTCCGATGTACTTAATTGACAATATTGTTCATCAATCAATTTGCACTTACGCCGATACTTAACGATAGTTACGATCCATTAACGTCTTTGAACTTTTACTCTTTGACATGTACATTTAGATCGCGATGTAGATTGTAGGAAAATTATTGCAAGTGCTATCCATGAACCAATTTACTTCCGATGATGTTCTTGAAGAACCGCGATAATATGTAAATAATATTTTACTAAAGCTCGTCGAACCACCGCTTCCTTTAAACTTTCAAGTATCCAATCATAAACTTCCTACGTTTGCCTTTATTAGCAAATTTTTTTCTTTTCTTTTACTTATACGCACAAGCCGAATTGTTCATTGGAGTTAAAATAATTAAATTTCAATTCTGTCATAATCTATTTATACATGAATTTCACAGGTATTATGCGCAATTAATCACCATGAGTAACTCAAGTAAGATGAACAAAGAAAATTCGTCAAAAATGCCTACGAATTAATTACGTCACATATATCCGGATTGTCTTTGTTCTAGTAAAATAACTGAGAGTGTCATTACAGCAACAATATCCAACGACTACGATTCAAGCGCATTACTCAATTATTTAATTATTCTGTAATTGGTCGCTACGTTATTAGGGCTTATCTTAATTGGCCGGATTTTGATTTATTTTGCCGAAAATTCCACGTATCTCCATTCTACATTGAAAACTATAAATATTCAATTTTCAGACTTGAATTTTCAGAGTTGAACGACGTTGTCCCAAAAACGTTCGACCCTGTCTTTATTTTGAGCACGCTGGTGTGAATTTTCATCAAGAGACTCAATTTTCCTATTGCGAGAATAACGAACTGTACGAGGCACACTAGCACCGGAAATCTTGATAAAATTTTTTTGTTAATCTCCATTCGTGAAGAGTGGCCGTGGTATTTCAACTCAGCCCCATCAATATCCATCATTAAGGAGTCGAGACGAGGGTGCCGCCTCATTTTCATAATGTTGATTTTTGCTTTGGATAAGAGGTTAACCGAATGAGTCGCATACGTGGCCTCGATTAATCCTCGCGGATCGATCGATAATGTCGAGGTTGCTATGGTCAGCTCGGTATTGTTGGCGCTCGCCCGTAACTTAGCCATCCGTGCACGCGACTGCTCGCATCCGTTTGCCGCCCCGCGCAACCGCTCCGTGTGACCGGTCAAGTCCTCGGGGTCTGAGAAGGGAATGACGCGTGGGTGGCGCCTCATGGGCGCAATGTCACGAGTTTGCGTGTTGCCGCTGGAAGGGCAATGCGCGCGTATTCCCTGATGTCCTGGAGGGTTTTCCACAAGCGCTACAAGTCACTAAGACCCGTGACTCATGTGTGCGCGCGAGCGTGCAAAATAACAAAAAAAAAAAAAAAAAGAATTGAAATCACTGCTAGCGGCTGTCTTTACGGTCACCCGTCCTATCAATTTCACGTTACCTCTTAATGTCATTTCGCTTGATTTTAACGTTTCAACGGCGCTGCCTACTGTTCCCGGGAGAAGTCATGTCCGCGTGAATAAAACCTCAGGGTACCGAGGTTTAGAGAGAACTTTAGAGAGAAAAAAGCGGAGTGTTCAGTGATAAGCTTATAAGCGCTCATAAGCTGGCTTTGCAAACGATATCTTGACGATAATTCATTATTTGCAAATATCGAAAACATCGAGCAAAATACGTTTTCAAAACACTCGATTGCACTGGTCGTTGTACGCTATTTCTTAATAGGTCGTTAAATTCATCGTCTTTAACTTTTTGCAATCTTTTGGATATGACGTCGATGCGTTACTTTACAAATCATTGATTTAGAAGCAAAATATATTTATAAGTAATATATTCTACAATGCACGGCGTTGATTAGTAAAGGGATGTTATCAACAAGATTATAATAAGATAATAGCATAAAATAGTCGGCTATTCATTTCAACATTCATTAATTTTAAATAGAAAGAGTAGTTTATAAATGTTATACTGTGCTTGATGAGCGATGTCGATGCAATTTAAAACGGCGCTTGTCATTATTTACTTGATACAGTCTTAAATATAAAATCTAAAGAGAGCAGCTAAACAATTAGCCTATCTAATATCTAATCTATCATAGATAATAGCGTTTACTACATTAATATTATAAAGCGAAAGAAGTTTTTTTCAACCGCAGCAGAAAAGTTTTGTCCTTGTGCATTATACACTGTTGTTAAATCATAAATTTAACAACGTCACGATATTCTTGATATCTCTATCATCATTGTTACTTCTAATAAATAATCGTTTTAACTTCACTTTGAAATTCAATAAAAATTATCTGCATTGAATGGTGGTGAATAATATTCCTTCGCTTTTGTTTATTGTTTAGTAGTGCTTTCTTCTCTTGTATATGTATATATATATATATATATATATATATATTTTTTTTGTTTTTAATTTTTTTTTTTCAAACGTCAATATAATTATTTGCTACTGATTTTAATAATTTGAAAAAGCATATTTATTCTAATTTTTCTAGGACAATCTCTTCCACCCTCCCACCCCCCTCCACTACCACCACCACCATGCACTCCTTAAAATATGAAAAAATAAAAAATATATATAATTCAGAAGCAATAAAATATTTGAAATATAAAGTTTATTTTGTTAAGCATAGAATCATCAAAAGCAGAATAATTTTCCTGGAATGACGATTACAATTATCTTAGCTTTTAATTTTACTCAACTTTCTTTGCCATCGACTCGCTTCAGTAAACTAAGTGCATTCGATCGATGTGCTTTTAATAATAGCATTATAATTTTCACAATTCATAAAACATTAATTGAAATAATATTTCAATCAATGTATTCGATCATACGCTAAATTTAAGCCAATTATTATAATATAACAATTTTGGGGTACATAACTTATAAATAGAGTAATTACACTGGCCAATTTAATAATTAGCCTCATATTTTCATGTCAACTTTATTTAAAAATCAGTCTTATATCTTAATATTATGACGTTTAATGTAATTAAAGCCAGTGAAGTTCCTTTATCGTATTATCCGTCAATCATCCCATCGCATTCACCCTTCCAAAACTTCTTAAATATTTGCACACTGCTAATCGTATCCGTAGTCTCGCAGATTTAATAGAATTTAATGATTAGCGTTCCCTCCCTAGTTATTTAAAGGAGCGCGATAAATAATATTCGCGAAATCTTGACGTTAAATAACCCATTGACTTTCACACAAGTGCAACAAAGGAGTATCGCCGCTCCATGCGAGCAAATCTCTTTGCTCTCCTTGCCTCTCCTTCCACTGACAATGGCTTTTTTCTTTTATTGCGGCCGCTCGTCGACCCCGTGTAGTCCTCCTCCCCCTCTTCCACGCGGGGCGACTCTCATTCATCGCTGCGATAGTAGTTTGGCGCGTCGTTACTCACTCTCTTGCCCCATGAATCATTTAAGCGCTCATGAAAATCGTGCAGCTGATTGTCCCTGCGCGGGCACGAGCCGGACGATACACTTGACTCTGCCGAGGTCTGAACCGCCAAAGTCCTCCTCCTCCTCGTCGTCGTTGTCGTCGTCGTCGTTATCGTCGGATCACTACCCAGCCCTTTAGTTTTCTCATTTTCCCACGTCCTTCCTACTTACTCCTTGGCGTACTGCCGCCGATGACGGATGACTCATCGCAAACGCGACAAGCTCGAACGCGCGAGGGAGTGGTGAGGGGTATATATATGTATATGTACTTTGGCGTACTTGCGATGCATTATCGAATAGACGCCTTGATTTTATTTTCCTTTCCGTTATACGATGAACGCCGATTTAGCCGGCGTCATGTACAAGGGGGAAATGATTCACTTGGCAAATGATACTCTCCGATTTTACTCGCGATCAGTGATAAACGTCAGCCTCGACCTTTCTCTTCTTCAGATTTTGCATTGGCCAACAGTGGCAGCGGATTGTATCGTATACTCGCACGCTTATCAATTGTACATTTGCGTGTGCACGACGAATGCGTGCGTGCGTGACTGCGTGCGTGACTGCGTGCCTGAGTTCACACATGAATTTTCACGTAGATATTTAATCTTTCGTTTGATTTTTTATGACAGGACTCTTTAGGACAGTACATTGACTTTAATGCATTGAAAAGATATTCGTTTTATCAGTAATAATCTATTTATGGGGAAGTATCGAAAGCTTGTATCAATGATTGTTTATAAATGTAAATTAATTATTTAATAACACATTATAATAATATAAAATCTTTTCAATTAATGTCACGTGAGAACATAAAGTAAAAAAAAAAAAAAAAAACATTAAATGAAAAATCTCTTTCGCTTTCGAAAATGTGTACTTCTTTCAATTGTATTTCATGTTTTTACACTAACGAAAGCCTAAGGATTCATAAAATAAATTACTGCACAAATAAGGTGTTAAAGAAACGAGGTAAAAAATAATTTTGTTAGCGGTAGGATCTCTTCTCTTGTGATACATCGATACAATGCCATCGGAATAATCAGAATAGGAAATTCTTGCTTTATCGGTATCATGATGATAGTTCAGGAAAGGCAATGAGTCACTTGGTTGCTGTAGCACTGTATTATGTTATACTTATTGTTTAGCTCAGATATTTATTTTAAGATAATAAAAAAAACGTAAATTACTGAATCACCGTGCAATTTCTTAGTCATGTTGCTTTTGCCACTACGTGGTTTCTCCATTGAATCGCATAGTTGCATAAAATATTAATATAACTTTTATCTGGAACGAACTGTTATTAATTAAGTTTGTTCAATTTGCTTACTCCAATTTCAATTACGTATGTAAAAGGTTCGTACAAAAAGTTAAAATTAAATCTATCATCTAAATTAAGTATTATTGACGGTTAAAATACTCAAAGTATTGTATCACACTGCAAGATCACGGCGAAGTGATAAATGCCTCGAG